AATGTGTTTAAACGCAGGGCCCCTTAGGGGCGCCGTCACCATAAACCAAAACCCTGAGAACCCTAATGTGAGCCCCAATATAATTTCAATAAGACCCTAATATAACCCCAATATTAAGCCAATGGGTACCCTGAGATGTAACCCCAATATAATTCCAATAAGACCCTAATATAACCCCAATATTGACCCAATGGGTACCCTGAGAACCCTAATGTAACCCCAATATAATTCCAATAAGACCCTAATATAACCCCAATATTCACCCTACGTAAACCCTAAACCCTAAACCCTAGTATAACCCCATTATCCCAATGGGTACCCTGAGAATCCTAAGCATGGCCTCTCCGCTGCTCGCAAGCGTCGAGGCACAGCGCTGAAGCGAGATCTCTGGGCCTTGACGTGCTAAAGGGCTTAGGTTTTATGGTTTAAGGTTTTTGGGAAATGAGGTTTAGGGTTTAGGATTCTTTGGGTCTCGGAATACTAAGGTTTAGGGCTTAGGATTTTTAGGGTTCCGGAATATTAGGGTTTAGGGTTCAGGATCATAAGGGTTTCGGGTTTAAGTTCACTAGAGCTTTGGGTCTTGCTGCTAGGGAACTTAAGTTAAGTCCAAGCCTCGCTTCTGGAACACAGTGAAGCTGTCAGAAACTAGCACTAGGAACCGTCTCCGTCCTCGCAGGTTTTCGGGCTTGATCAACTTCAGGCCTTCATCATTGATGGCGGCCAACCTCCGCAAGCATGGGCATTCTCGCTCTGAGAAGCACACTTGCGTGGCCATCTGAGGTGGGCATCCCTCATATGAGGTCATCACGGTCTGGCCGTACTCCGCATCGCCTCCAGCAAGCTTGAACTCCTCCGCCAGTGCAGCCGCCCGAAGGCTTTGATGCCAGAACTTCAAGTTCTCATCGCGTGGCATCTGCTGCGCTCTGGCACGCACCCTACATGCTACCCCCTAAAGCCCTATAGAGTTTAAGGTTTAGGGCTTGGGGTCTAAAACCCTACACCCAAACCCTGAATCCTACACCTTGCATCCAGAATCCAAGTCCCGCACCCTAAACTCTCTGCTGGCTGGGTATTTGAGGTTCCAGACTGCATTACCCTCTCATAAGCGGTGTAGGGCTTTGGGCAAGTGTGCACAGGGGGGCAACAAGGAAAGGACGTATACCGGCACGCTCCAGTTTCGCATTGCAATTCTCCAGCTGGCGCCTTTTATAATCGTCAGGTTGCGATTTTCCTGTTCTTCCACCAGCTGCCTGGACGCTTGGAGGAGCATTTCCTCGCTGGAAATCCCTGCGGATGGTAGAACTTGACTCTGCGGATCGAGTGGATGACGCTGCAGGTCTGCCCACATAAGGGCCTCTTATGGGGTGTAAGGCGTATGTGTGAGTCCATACCTTTGCCAGCCAAAAAAGTAAGTTACAGCTAATTCACTCCAGCATCTGCTTGCTTAGGGTTTGCCCCAAGCCCTTCAATGCAAAGACTCCGTGGTGTGTGGTGCTTCGTAGGGAATGGGAGACTGCAGCATTTTGAGGACTAGGGTTCAAGGTTGGGGGGGGGTTAGGATAAAGCAAGTGTAAAGAAGATTTGGTACTGGACTTGCCAAAGAAGAAAAAACAACAGGCTTTGGTATGTCCACTTCATGTCAGGGAACGAAGCA